AATTGTGTATTTTAGTATCTTATCTATTCATAATTATAGAAAAACTTATTAACCTTATTAATGATGCATGTCTACCATCTGAAGAGTGTGTTTGTTCTTTGCTAACACAAAAGTTTAATGCCTTTTAATCAAGTATAGGTCTCGGTCTTAAACTAATAAAACTGCTGCCAAGATATTTTCACAAAACAAGAGGTGTTCACATGCATCATTCACCTAGTGCTTCTCAATTTTGTAGTATTTTTTTAGATCAAATTTTAGGCATTATTTTCTTTTTTTTTCTCATGCATTTGAAACACATACACCTCTGTTTTGCTTTGTTTTAAGGCTTTAAAAATCTTAAAAGTTTCAGCCACACAAAACAGTTCAAGGAAACCTAATAGGAAAAGTTTGTTTAACAATTTTCTTGACAAACGTTTTTTTAACAAGACATAATAGAAACCTAACTCTATGAAATTTGCTAGAACTAATAGCAAATTATAAACTCAAACATGTAAAAAAAAAGCACATATAGGTAAGGTTCAAATTTAATAAGAAAAATGACGCACCAAACAATGATTCTCAAACAACACAAAAATTAGGTCCAACAAGCTAGTCTAGGAATTTTCAACATACAAATAACTACTCATGACTTTCTAGGACAAAAAAAAGTGATTCAAAAACAAATCTAATGCAGTATGAATGTGGTCCAATCACAGACACATGTTAAAGAATGGAGACTCAAGAAAACATCAAAAACACACAAGCAAGGAACCTAGGCGCACCAAAACAAATTGATTCAAGAATTAGGAACAAGAAAAAATATGAATCAATTATTTCTCATGTGACAAATAGGATCCATCAATATATGAACAAAAATTAGATCCATACAGCAAACACAAATGTAGACATAGAAAAAGGAAGAGAAGACAACATGGATTCAAGTAGAACAAGTTAGAGACATAAAACCTCAAGAGCACCAAAACTCTAGATACCAAAAATGATAGAACAAGATGAAGACCGGTTGATAAATCTTCATAGCTCCACCTTGAATGATCTTTGCACCTTGAGGTTGACACGGTTTTGAGCTTGAATTCACCTTGAAGTAACTCCAATGGTGAAGGAAGCTTGAAGGAGGTTCGGCCACTTCAATGGAGGATGAAGAAGCTTGAGGAACCAAGGCAAAGGTTGAAGAACCTTTGAGAGAAACCTTAGAGAGAGAGTTCCCTGCGGTTTTTAGGACTCTTGAGTGAGACAGAAATCTGATTTCTATTTCTCAAAATGTTCAAAAGTGATTACAAGACTAGAAATTACAAATATATAGAGGTAGGTAGCTTAAGGAGCAAACTAACCTTAACCATGGTTCACTAGGAACCATGGTAAGGTTAGTTGACCTTCTAGGGAAAAGCTTGTAGCACAAGCTTCTCAACCCTAAGTGAAGAACAAATTTCGGCCAAGGAGAGGGAAACTAGGCTGCGCGGATTTGGCTCTCATTTGCTCCATGATTTATTTTCAAAAATGTTTGGTTTGGTCGAGATAGGTCCATCCAAAAATGATGAAACCTAGCTAGATCAAACCGATTATGAGCAAAATGAGTCCAATATGTAAAATTTTGCCTAGGCCCAATTCTGGCCTATTTGCTATTCATACCCTCAAACATTGCTAAATGCCACCCCTTTTTCCCTACTGAAAAAATAGAAAATGAGTGTATCAACAAAGGAGGTTAAATGGAGTTAAACTCTCCAAGTAACCTACCCTAAAATCAATATACAATCACTAATAAAAGCAAGTAAAGTGCCTCACAAATTCAAAGGCAAAAATAAGCATATACAAAAAGACTATTATATGTACAAACATATGAAAAGGTCTTTAAGATCATCTCATTCCTCTTGGTTCTTTTAAGATATCACCTCTTGGATTCCTTGGCCTTGGCCATAGTCTATCACTCTTTGGACTAGCCTTTTAGTTGGTGCCGAAAGGGGGAGAGAGTATATAATTTTTGAATTTATTTTAATTTATTTTTGAATTGAATTTCTAAATTTGTCTTTAAATTTTAGTATATTTTTTGAATTCTTGGATTACTCTGACTTTTCTGGATTTTTGAATTACTCTGACTTCTTTTTTGTTGTAATCTTTAAATCTATCTACCATTTACATTATTATGCCTTGCATTATTTTTCATCTAGATTGGTATTTTGCACAATCTGTAAGCATGCCAAAAACTACACATGCTTCACACATGATTGATACAATAACATGCTTTCGTAATTGCTTGAATATACATTAGGACATGCATGTTTTCAAGGGGGAGTCTCCCTACATAAATGGTTGCATTCATCTAAAGTATCGTCTATATAACATGTATATTAAATGCAATTTTTAGGAACGTTTATAAGCGTAGGTATATTTGTATGAGAATAACCATGTGTAGTCTCGTAAGTCTATATATCTTGCTAAGTTTGTCTGATTATAGATTTCAAAGACTTACTCTTTACAACAAATTGCTTTTTTCTCAAAAAGCCACGTCTTAGGTACTAAAAAGCTTACTACGTCTGAAATAGAAAATAGCTCTTGCTTAAACATAGTCTATTTCTAAGTTGAAGAAATTATCTTTCTCAAAAGTTTTCTTAATGGTAAAACAAGCTATATTCAAAAATGTGTTCGTCACCATCAAAAAAAGGGAGATTTTTAAGTCAAAAAACAATCCCTCATACCTTATGAAGTTTTAATGATAAAAAGCACTATATTTTTAATAAGAAAACACACCATAAAAGTTGTTGTTTTTGACTGAGTAAGACGAAGTAGCATCTATAAGATGAAGCTAATCAGACAAAGCATGCAAACCTTTTCTAACGATCATTATTTATCATGACTGACAAGTTTAAATGTTCAAATGAATGTTTTATACCTTAATAGATCGAAAGTTGTTGTCTTGGAACTCACATTCTATTAAACGTGTATAAAAACTTTAAGAGTAACAGAACAAAGCACAAAAATCCTAGATTTCACAGAAAATGCATTAAAAAAGGACTGTATTCTTGCATGCATGCTAACTTTGCTTCTTGTTGTTCCCACTTTGCTACTTTGCTTTGATAAGTAACTTGATTTATCAAAGATAAGGAGTATGTTTAGGTGAAAGACATTAATTGAAGCATTTAATACACCAAAGGGTACTTTCTCTCTCTAAAGATTAGACAAAGGAGTAAGATGAAGTAGTTCTATGAATCAGACTCAAGAAGCTACAATGTTCATCTCTTTTAAAGTTGTTGTATAAGAGACCCCAAAACTCTGAAGAAGATAAAGAAGCACATATAGAGAACAAAAGTGTAAATATAGAAAAAATGATTTGCACTAATCTCTTAGAAAATCTTCTTCAATAGTTTTTTGTATTGTAATAATTTGTTGTAATCACATCTAAAAGAGATAACAACTGCAACTTTGTAATACTTTCATAACCATTATTATAAGGTAGAGCTTGAAAAGGTTTGACTGTAAAAGAATACTTGGGATTGAGCTTGGAAAGGTTTGTCTGAAAAAGAATACTTAGATTTGAACTTAGAGAAACTTGTTTGTAAAAGAATATTTAAGTAGTGGCTTGAAGAGGCAAGTCAAAGAACACTTGTTTGAGTCAAAAGTGGCTTGGTAAAAGAATACTTGTAACTTTGCTAAAAATTAGTTGAACTCAATATGGTTGGATTGAGAACTAGACTTAGCCTCGGTGGTTGAGGTGAACCAGTATAAAAATATTGTGTTTTATTAATTACTCTTATTGACCTTTCGTTTGTTGCAGATACTAATTCACAAAAACTTGAAAATGTGCGAGTTTTTTTTTTTATATACATTATTCAATCTCCTTTTAGTGTCTATCTTTTTTCTACAATTATTATACTTATTCATATTAGTTCAACAAATAAGTTTCATAAAGAAGAATAAAATCAAGAAAGTTGTTATAACACGCAAAAATCTTTCAAGATGGAACATGTATTAAAGTGGTTGCAAGCATTCATATTTCATGTGATATGATTAGTGCCAAGTTTGAAGATATTATATGTGCACATGTTCGTCTACTTGAAGATATCCAATAAAATAGTATGAATTACAATTGAAATCAAAACTTAAAATATTGAACAAAAATATCATGGAAAAATGTTAGAAATCAAGAATTTTTCAAATATCATAATAGAATATTTTAAAGTATATAGTTTTTTATTTATAAGTTTGATTAAAATTCGCTGAGAAAATAACTTACTACTAAATGATACTTTTTTAATTTAGTTATAATTTATTTTTGTTTCTAATCAAGAGTTTATTAATTGTTGTATTTAAACACTTATTGTAACACTTAAAGTATGCAATATAAGATCATAAATCAAATATATGAGATCAATTTTACTCTCTTCTTTGTTTGTTTCCTCCAAAATTTGTTATAGAGCTTTCAATAACTATTTGAGAGTCAACTAATCTTATATTCAATGTTCAAAAAAATTCACTTCTCGAAAACTAATTTCTATTTCATAATAGACGAGTTACTCATCAATATCTTATCTGACATGCAAACAAATGAAATGTTGTTTGAAAAAGTAGTGAGGCTTTAGAAAAAATTAATAATTGATATGACCCAAGATGATTTTGAAGAGAAAAAATTAAGAATAAATGCATGAAGAATTTTAAGTTGTTGAAACTTGTGATAGTGAAATATTCTAATCTCAAATCTCTAATCAAATACAATCTATTGATACAACTAGGTTATGATTTAAAAGAAATGTTAGAAGACACACTCAATCACACTGTATTATTAGTTAAATTTATTATAATTTTTAAAAAATAAACATTAGCAACACACTTTTCTTAATACTCTTATGAGTTGGAACTTATAAAAATTATAAAATATGAAGAGAGAAACATTAAATAAGATATGAAGCCCATCAAAATTAATTTCAATAAATTTTAACTAATTAAAAAGTGTTTAAAAGAATATATTGCTTTCATTTGAAATTATGTATAAAATTCGTTATAAATTTTACCAGCAACAATAGTGCAATGAAAGTAATTGAAATATTCAATTGTTAGCCTGGCCATCAAGAAACTCTGATGTACAACCACCACCTACCACTGGAATTTTGCAAAAGATACAAAATTCCTAGGCAAGAAAAGCACCCAAAATTTATATGGCAAACCTATCCATTTGCATCTCTATTCATACCGCTCATATGTTAATACCAATAATTTTACATTTACAGAAGAAAACTACTGAAAGCCACACATTTTTACAAGCCTCTACCAATGCACCACAATCGACCACGGCTTGGGGTGGCACTTGCAGAGCTGGCTTTGGCCTCAGTAGATGAGAGTCCTGTATCAGAATTACTACCACAACTAGAATCACAATTTTGTGCATCTGCCTCGTTCATCTTATCAATTAATGAGTGCCTGATACGTGAACCAACCACCCAAGCTTCAGGAGGATTTATCCCAGGTGAGCAACTTGTTGTAGAAATAGGTGAATTGGGATTGCTTAAAGCATCCTCTTGCAATATATCTCCTATTCTAGACAGTATGCTGAAGGCTAAACTTCCAAGAACTCTAGAGTATGCTTCCAAAATGGCATGCCCAATATCCTACAAAAGTAGATAGAAAGAAATTAATATTACCTCCACATGTTTGCCACAAATTTGACACCTTGATTAAGGAAAAACTTTGTTGTAGACAACTTAGATACCTGTCCTTTTCTTTTCTATTTATCTAACTTATTTTTAGGTTTAATTGCACTTTTTGTCTTTTAAATTTTACAATTTTGTGAACTTTACCACCTGACTTTTGAAATTACACATTTTTGTTACCTAATTTTAAAACTTTTGCACATTTTATCATTTTATTAAATAGTCATATGTCTTTATTAGTTAACAGTTGATATAATATATTATGTTATGCCAATAAATAAATAAATATATATATATATATATATATATATATATATATATATCATAGTAACAATTAATGTGTCACGTCACGATTAATTATCAATGTTAGACAGTCAAACAACAAAATAAAAAAATGTAGAAATTTTGAAAGTTGAAAGAGAAAATGTACAATTACAAAAATTCGGTGAGAAAAGTTCACAAAATCATAAAATTTGATGACAAAAAATGCAATTACACCTTATTTTTAAGTAGACATGAGTTAATTTAACATGAAGTTTCCATTTTGTAGGGGGAAGAAGAAAATATTAGTGTCGTAAATGAAGTAGGTAAAACAAAAACATTAACAAAAGTTTCCCATTCAGAATGACAATGAAATATATCAATCACCATGAAACTCACCTTGCCATATTGAACTTTTGCAGCATCCAGAAACGTTTGAGGAAGGTTTGGATATCTGGTTTTAAGTAGATTGAAAAGTGTTTCTGCTCGGTCCAGCAAAAGTTCCATCTTATCCACACCTGACATAGGGTCCTTCATGAAAGACCATGAGGTTCGAACTGGCGATTTGTCACTATTTTCTTGTATAATTCTCTCTTTCCATGAAAATATAACAGCTTCCAATCTATTAATTGTCTCTAGGGCAGTATGTTCAGATTCCAAATTGAGAGCTTTAAGCATTTCTTCTTCAGAGCTCGATCCAGCCATCAGAACCTTGTGTAGTTCCTCTCCAAGGCTTGTCTTTCCGGACTGAAACATAGAAACAAACTTAGATAACAAACAATGCAATGAAAATCAAGATACATTAAAATATAACAACCTAGCATTATTATTGTTATATGTCTTTATTACAAAAACAATCTTCATGATTTGGGATATCTCAAGCAGTCAACATGTAGTTTTCTTGTGCATGAAAATCAAGCCAACATTACAGGTCAATTTGAGATATGCATCATACTACACACCTTAAACCCTACTCTACTATCAAGGTCTTTGTGTTATTTTGTTGTTCAAAGGGGATTCGCACGTGTTTCCATATTGATATGATATTTTTTACTTTGAACTTACAACCTCATGTATATATTTTGGTTATTATTTAAAAGACCTTGTATTTATAGAGATTATGCATGTATTTAAAAACTCATGTTAATTCTCTTATTTTAATGATTTGGAACTCTGTTTGTATCTAATAGTTTCAACGCAAATTATCCCATTTTGCTGCTATCTTCTTGCTTCCTGAATACTAACCATCAATGATGGAGAGAAGTTTGGTTGAGGCTAAAGGCATATAAATTAAAACCCTCAAAATCGATTACCTTCAGAAGTGCATCTTTAATTATCATCGGGACGGGCATTTCAAGCAACATGTTATCATTGATAGCTTTGGCAGCCTTGAATATTTGGTGCACTACCCTTCCCTGATGAAGCAACCTCTTTCTTTCAATATCAGAAAGCCCAGTTCTTGGTACTCGAGGTGATGGAAGCCACCATCTTTTGCTTTGTCTTCCACCTGTGGTCCTCCCTTCTGACCTGCTTCCTTCCTCTGCATACCAAAACTCAGTATGCACCATTGAGTCTAGTGTTTCCTGTCAACCAGAACACCATAAAGATGTATCAGTCTAATAAGTAAAAGAACGTTTCAAGGTTTCAAGGCATGTTTAGATAAACTTCTGCAGAAACACTTCTAAGAGAGAAAAATAGATAGTAAAAATGAAATAAGCTTTTTATAAACTAAAATTAACTTATACATAAGCTAATTTGTTGAAACTCTCTCATATTAGCTTCTCTAAAATTTTATATTAGCTTCTCTAAAATTTTATTTTTAACTTATGCATAAACTAATTTTAATTTATAAAGAAGTTTATTTCGATTTTCTTTCTATTTTTTTCTCCTAAAAGTACTTCTTGATAAGTTTCTTCAAACATGCCTTAAATGAGAATGAAGAGATGACCTACAATAAGCATTGAGTCCAACTTCTGAAGTGCTGGAAGATTCATTTGGATGTCTGCACGAGCTTTTGGGGTCATTATCTGTTCAAAGATAGTTGCTACATTATTTTACTGCAATGTTATACATCTGAAAATATTCCACCCTTTCCTTTTCAGTTCAAATGAAATATACCTCAAAGATGCCACCGTTGGCACCATTTTGCTTAGCAGGAACTAACTCAACCATATAGTTGGTAGGAGACAACAACCAACCCATTTCTCGTTTCCATTTGCTCTTCCTCTCTTCAGATAGAGGTTCCAATTTCCACAACTCACCAAAAACTGTCACTGCATATAGGATTTAAAAGAATTTGGCTCACCATAAAGTACATGTACTTATCAATGCAATGAAACCAAAACATAGAATAAAAATGCACTTAGAGCCAACCTGCAAGGTTTGTGATGGCAGTAGATAGTGCTAAAGCTGTACTGAGGCCTTTAGCTCCTCCTGTAATATCACCACCTAACAACAGCTTTGCAAACTTTTCTCTCATGGCTTCTACTTCTGAACATGGGAGTTCATAAGCAGGCTTCTCTTTAACATAAAAATGTTGAGGACTTTCTGAGAGTTCCCACTCTTCCAATCCTCGTTCATCTCTTTTCATGGTCAAACACTTTGAAGAGAATGATCCAAAACCATCTTTACTGGATGAACAGCTGGAGTCATCATCATTGAATGAATCAGTTATACATCCATCTCCTCTACTCGTTCTGCTTTCATCTCCATAAGATTGATTATCCGGAATGCAATTCTCAAGGCCATTAAATGTCATAACCCCTGAAACATTATAAGTTCATATGATTTTCTTTGGTTAAATTTAGCTGTATAGCCAAAATCCAAATCCTCAAGAACGAAATGAATATCTAACTCTAAATGTCAAAAATGTATGAATATATTATCATTGATGTTGGAAAAACAAAGCAATGTAAAGCTGCAACTAAAGTACTATAGGAAGATGGCAACAGTTGACACACCCAAAAAAGTGACACAAATACGTAGGATCTTCAGTACTATAGAGTTTTTCTATTACTCTCATTCTTGCATGATTACTATATGAGATTTCAACACTTCTTCACGGATATTCTGATGAATTTTATAAACGTTTCACCACTACAAGGTCAAACATCTCTGCTGGTTAGTGGTCTTCTTAACAAATCAATGTACCCATTGCAACATTGACTAGAATATATGTCATCCTTGTCGGTGTTGAACAATTTGTTTGCATCTCTGATATTTAAACTATATCTGTTTGTCTGATAAACCGATTGTTAATAAACCGGTGAATTGTTTAGACAAAAGAGTCTATGACATTGTTATTACGATGTACTTCCATAAACCTGTGCCAGATAACACACCAACTGCACCTCTCAGATTCACACCAGAGAGAAGGGCATAACAATCGGTCAAATTTGTCCACATTGTTGATGTAGCACATGTACTCACATGCATCTGTACATCAGCAATTTTTTTTTTTTTTTTAACTCTGCATTCACCTTGTATTTAGGGTAATAGTGTGTTGGAGATGTTACTCAAGTCAATAACTGATTATTACTATATAACCCAAATATAAGCATTATAATTCTAAACAAATTCCAATTCTGACCAAATTAGACTTGGAAAGTTAGAATTACAAATCCTATATTACGTGTTAAACATTTTAAAATGATAAAAATATTATTGTTCTTGGAGTTTTATTGGGTAGCCTGATTTCTAGGCTATTGAAAATCTTCTGTTGTGTGGGAGAAAATTGAGTACATGAATCACCCAAACTGAACAATTTCATGTGAGACAAAAAATACCGAATGGAAAACAGAAGCTCCCAATGATATGACAGACTGGGACACGACAACCGCTTCCAATTCAAATGGGAACAAATAAAAACAATAATAACATTAAGGACAAGAGATGAGTAAAACCCAAAGAAGAAAAGAGAGTCCCCACACATGGATCTCAAACAAATAGAAAGAAAATAGTTCAAAATTTTGTTTTTCATTTTTTGCTAAATTAATGTTTCTATCATGAAAAGGCATTCTTTCATTTTTATAGATGGTTCATTTAATAAGTTTATACCACATTTTTACGAAATTATAAAACTAAAAATAAAGTGTTGTTTCTACAATTGTTAATAAAAAAGTATTAACTATACATAAGGCAAATAAAAACATTATTTTCCAACACCAAAATAGTTAAACGGAGAGAAAATGAAAACTTCGTTTTCCCTCTTTTTGTTAAACATATTCCCGAAGCATGACTTCCCAACCCAGATGGACGAGTGCGATGGTTTTTTTCCTCCCACAAAAGTAAGTAATAATTTTAGTGTTGTTTAATGAGTCTTAAAAATTATGAGAATTTTATTTTAGAAACTGAGTTGGAAATAAAATGAAAAAGATTGTGTTCTTTATATATGTAGCAACAATTAGCAAGCTATAGTTAGGTTCTAAAATTCTACTAATATACGATATTTTTTTCCCAATATTATATATATATATATATATAATTTGACTCTTTAAGACTAACCCATTTATCAAACAAGAAATTTCAATAGAATGGCACTGGCAATACCATTTTCTTTTTTGCTTTAAAAAAAAAAAAGAGTAAAAAGAGCTTATTTCATGAAGCATGCAAGTATTTTTTGTACAAGCAGGAAAAAGAGAAAACCCGTGAAGAAAAAAAAATTATACACGAGAAAAAAAAAAAGAAGAAAACCCATAAAAAGAAAATAGATTTTTTTTTAAGATTATTTATATTATAATGAGTCTAGCTGTAGGACAAGTATTAATATCAATATCGCTCTAAATAGGGAAATACCAAACCCAGTGAAATATCGCTGAAAATATTCATATTTTAATTATAAGTAACCGATGAAAAACGGCAAATTTCAAATTCAAATCTGTCCTTCATTTATTTAGACTTGATATACTAATATAAAAACAAAAGCACAGATGTCAGACACTCAGTGGAAAGTCGAAAGATCTACATTTGGTTAATGGTATTGGTGTACTCTCAAGTCTCAACATATTTATCATTTTCACCCTCGGTGGACCCTTCTTTTTAAAGTAAAATTACTAATTTCTAATTACTAATAAAGACCAGCAAATGAAACTATTCACATTCAATCACCACGTAACCACACTTGATTTGATTGTTGGGTTGAAACTCAAAGTATGATTATATATATATATATATATAATTATTAACCTTTTAAAATTACATCCAAAACGTGAACAATTATATCCCATATGAGAATCAAACATGCTACAAGGTTTTTAATCAGTTTTGCAATTTTGCTTTTAGTTCGTAAGATCCTTAGCCCGTGAGTTACTATGATGCAGTATTTTGAACAGTTAACTTCGTATATATATATATATATATATATATATATATCAGTGTTTTAAAGTTTAGCTTTAACTAATTTGATTCAAATGAGAGTTTTAGTGTCAAAAGATGAAATTCGAACATTAATCAAACGAGTTAATCCTGAATTTAAGACATTAATTACTTTTTATTAATCGAAAGTATGATGGATTATATATGATATAATTCAATTGATTTTAAGGATAATTAATTAAGCCTTTTAAAAATACGCAATTTTCAACTTGGAGAATTTTTGAACTTAATAACTGAGCAGCTCTTTCATAGTTAATAGTTAATTAATAATATTTTGGGGATAACTGATTTTAACTCTCCTGCATTTTTTTCTTCTTCCGTTTTGCTTTGTTATATCGTTTGTAACAAAAACAAAATCAATAAAAAAAATATGTTCTTTGAAATTAAAAAAAAAACATTATTCCAAAAAAATCATACTAATTCAAATTTAAAAATTAAAAGACTAAAACAAACCCATTAAAATCATCAAAATATTTTTTTTATAGAAACAAAAACATATTTTAGTGAATAACATAATAATGAAGTAATGCTTTTATTACAGACACAAGAGTGAAATTGGGAGTAAGGACTTACTGTTTGGCTCATCAAAATCAACACTGATTTTGGTTTCCTTTGTGCAACAAGCGAGTCTTTTTCTCATTACCGACATCCTTTTCTCTCTGTCGCCTCAACACTTTGATAATGCTTTGAATTCAGCCTTCACTAAAAGCCTCACTGTTGTTTCAAAAACTATCACACTGTCCACCAACAATATCCAAAAGTTAATTTTCTCCTCCATAAAACAAAATACTCAAAATAAGGTTACAAAACGCGATTATACCCCCACCTCTAACTTAATATATGCTATACATTACTTGTGTAAAAAAAATAAAAATTGGTGACTCCATAAATTATTTTTGAAAATAATAAATAATAAAAATTATATGATAGAAAGGAGTTATTAACAAACGATTACTTATAAACAAAGTGATTACTTATGATGTGAGAAAAATTTAGAGAATATCTATGCAAATGAATTAAAAATGATTAAAAAAGGTAAAATAGTCTAAAAAGTATGTACATAAAAAAATATTTATAATCTTTGTATTATAGGTATAGAATATAGATACATCTACTCATAGATTATTATTATTAGAAAAAGGAAAATTAAATAAAGCTACATGTGAAGACCTACCTCGAACGAACATGAATGGTATGTGAAACAAAGGTTGAAGTTGGATATGTTTCATTATAAACACGACCTAGAGTCATTAAATTCAGATGAAAATTTAAAAAATACAAAAAGGTACACTGTTTGATAAAAAGTAGGACTCATGGTAACTTTTTGAAGCTATGGTCAAAAAAGCTTTAGAAAGCAAGGGAAGGGTCCGATGCAGCAGCATGTGCAACGCAGATTCGACCTTTTCATTCCCTCATTTTCTCCTATAATAATTACTTTTGCATGAAACTTCTTTTTTTTTTTTTTTTCACAAACGTTTCCAACTACGAAACTCCAACCGAAAAAAACAACGTGCGACATAACAAACAAAAACGACATATTTTGCGGAACCGAAACGCAGCGTACAATGAAAGGAGTTGGAATGGCTTAAGTTGGTGAAGGCAAAGAGTGGAAGTACCTGAGCTAGTGAAACGCTGGATCTTGCGTACGAAAGAGCATTGTGATTTGTTTTTTTGTTGAGTTCAAGTTGAAAGCTTCAGTGGCATTTCGAACATGTTAAATTTGTCAGCGGAAACAGAGAAGAGAAGAGAAGAATGAGTAATGGTGTGTGGGTGAGTGCATTTAATAAACGCAAGCGAGTGATGGAAGAGAAGAGAAGAGAAGAGACACGGCGCATTTGGTAACGTAGAGAAGAGCGTATTAGATGAATATGGGCCGTTCGATTAGCGGGTCCCGGTGCCTGATGACGCTCTGGTTTGCGCCAACGGTTGCGATAGTGGGGCGCAGGGTTTTATGGTGGGCCCGGGGTATAGGGCCTAGGGCCCAATGATGGTGCCGTATTTGGATCTCGATTCTCGAAGGCCGAATCACTTTGTTGTGTGGATTTCAAAATTAAACGTGTTGGATGAGTGCCACGTGGACGAGCAGTATTTATTTTGGTTCATTTAATTGGTAATCAATTCAATGAATTCATTACTATTTTCAATTTCGATCTTCTTTTCTTTTTTCCGAGTTTGAATTTAAAAATTACGCTAATAAATGCTTTAAATGTCGCTCCCGTACAGGTTATTAATTGAATTTTCCTAGTTCCAATTTACTCTCATGATCTTTTATTTGCATTTGAAAATTAAAAAGTTAATGTGCGTTTGGGTAGAGAAAAAATTGTAATGTATTTGTAGGTTGAATTTAAAATATGTTGTTCATATTAAAGAATTTTAGAATTATTAAATTTTTTTACGGATTGACTTTTTAATTTAAATTAGTCTGTAACGCATAGATTTATGTAAATGTAAAACTTTACTGTTGAAGTTTTTCTATGGTCAGATTAAAATACTTTGAGGGGGCAGTAAAAAGATTTGGACTTAACTATTACTAACTCACTGTAATAAGATATGTTTTTAGCAACATTAAAAAAATTGAAATTATGAGTAAATATTGTTAATATATTTTTATAATATTTATTAAATATAAGATAAAATTTATATTATTAAATTTTTATTAATATTTTTATATATTGTAAAATTTTAAAATTATTATTAAAATGATATTTTATAATATTTTAATTAAGTTTTTGTGAATTTAATAAAATAATAATTGATTTTAATATAGATTGCATTTTCAATTATATTTTATGGCTTCTATCTATAAAGATTTTAAAATGAAGACATCATAAATTATTCATCGCCAAAAATATTGATTTTAAATTTTAGGGGATAGAAAAAAAAATTACAAAGAACAAAATCAAAATTTACTTATTTTACAGAGATCAAATTTTTTTTTACAAATTTTAAAAGGATAAAATATATATATATATTCACAAGGGTCAAAATTAAAACTTATTTATTTTACATGAACTATATAAACTTTTTTAATTTATCTTTTTCAATTTTATTAGTTATTACATTTCAAACATCTTTCTTTTTTTCTCTTGATATAAAATTTTATTGTAAAAATCATTTAGCTCAGTGTTAATGCATAAATTAAGAAATATTTGAGGAAAATAAAATATTATTATATTTAAACTAAAATGTCCTTTTTAAATTCTTTGACTTTTGATGTTGCAGTACTCATCGTGGATATTAAATATGGATATATGCGAGAAAAATAATAATTAAATTTAAAATTTTAAAAACATCGATTATAGATAAAATAAAATAAAAATGCTAAAAAAAATCTAAAAATAATAATATGAGAATGAGGTATTATTAAGTTTAGAAATATTTATGTAGAAATTAAATAGATAATTTTATGAGAAAAAAAATAAGGAGATAAAGTTGATTTTAAATTTTAGTAAAAATTTTATTTATTTATTCTCTTGATTCTTTTTTTTTCTTTCTATTTTATAAGTATTTATTATGAAATTTGTTCAAATTAACTTTTAAAATTTTATCAACAAAGTTATTTCTTAAAATCTCTCATTTATCGCTTGTTATTCTAAAAACTTAGTTGAGTTCGAAAGAATCTGTTTTATCATAAACCCACTATCAATGGTGCAAAAATGCAAAATTTAGTAAGAAACGTGATGCTAGTAATTCACAAGGGATGAGATGAACGGGTGAGGAAACAATTGACTTGTTATGAATGCTAAAAGACTCATTACAACTATCCTCAACTAATAAAGCTACTAAATAAGTTTAGGGTAAGGGGCCAATTCACATGTTATTATTGATATCTTGTGAGATTTTTTATTATTTATTATTAAGATTAACTTATTGTATGCTATGATTACTATAATTATCCTCTTTATGATATTGTGTCAATTTGTATAGATTTTTTAGGCATAATTAGCAAGGTAACTTTTTATGTACACTCTTGTATATATTTTTTGTTGATACAATAATATAAAGATAAGAATTACACCGCAAATTCTTCTTTATACAGTAATTGAAAAGTGTATCATTGCCATAATGATTGAGGAAGGAAACAAGAACATATAATAATGTCAAAGAAGAAAATTTCATCTGACATCACTACAAACCAAGAAGTCTTATGAAGTAGGTTCAATTGAAAGGAGAAAATTATAATGAGTGGGTTGGCTAAGAATTGAATTCATTGTGAGTAAGAAAGAAATTTGGGTTCATAGACGGAACAATCAAACGAATCAGAAGATCTTGAAGATTGTACTGGTGCAAAAAAGGTGAAATTTGACCCTTAAAATTAGTTAAATTGGAACTAGTTTTAAGGTAAATGTTGTGAAAATTTTTTAATTATTGCAAGCACCTTTAAAATCGGTTTTAATATAAGCCGTTTTATAAGCATCTACAACATTAGCTACATGAGTAACCAATTTTGTAAGGTAGGCAAATAAGATTAGTTAAAAAGATTCAATTTTGTATGTTACTAAAAATATTGATTACATTTGTAACTAATTTTGTGGTTTACCAACAAAATTGGTTTTTGGTTTTGTTGATTGATTTTGAATTTCTGAGCACCATTTTCATTATTTGGTATCGTGTGCTCTATCTCATTTTCTTTCTCTCGATCTTGTCTCACTTTTGCTCTCCTCTTTCAAGTTTATATACTCTGCCACCTCTTGCTCATTCATCATCACCCCTATGTGAAGGTTGATAATTATGTGATTTACTTAATGTCAAGTGTGTAAATCACTACAATTGTTTTCCTTTAACTTTATTTCGAGTGTTGCCGACCTCTTTTTGGTATAATTTCATTAAGTTTACAATTCACTGTAACTATTAATTATTTTGGATTAAATCTCACAAAGGGAACTTCTTTTGTAGAGATCTTGGAGATGAAGAAAGTTGCAAGCTCAACATGCAAGAACCAATCAAGAAAATGGGAGGCGAGCTAACATGGTCGCTGAGCTAGAGTTACAAGTTGGAAGAGTCATAAAGGAGTCTACTCACTCAACAAGTCAATAAGGTCATTGAGCAAGTGATATGAACCCAGAGGGATGGATTCGTTTTACGGAATATCATAATTAGAATCTTGACCATCAAAAATATAAACTTTTGTCTCTTGATCCTATCCTAATTATGTTAATTAATATTAATTAAATAAATTAAGATTTGCTTATGTGTCATAATTTCATTGGTTGAGACTTGTATTTTAATTTCAACTAACTATACATTTTTATTAATTATTCCAAGCATACTATATCGATGATAAAATTATTATATCCTTTTGAGCATTTTTCCATAATTTTCTAGCTTAAGGTTTTAGCAGAATAATTTTTTCTTGTTAAATCCTTAGAGAATTTATATAAATTTTAATTTAGATATTTTCTCTCTTAACTGTATTTATTCTTAATCTGCACTCAATTAATTATTATTTAAGTTACAAATTACTTAAATTTTCTTAAATTGAGTTTCTCATATTTTACAGTGTGCTCTCAACGCTGTCCGAGAAACAATCAAATTAGATAATAAAATACATGTTATTGAATTTAGAAAATTTGGTTAAATAATGCTACATAAATTTCATTCACAGTAACTTACGTAATATTTAATATATATAATAATTTGCAGAAACTTATAGATAAATAGTTACAAAATTTAGGATGTTACACTTCTATTTCCACTTTCTCGTTCTACCTGCTTCCTTCTTGAGCTCACTTTCCTTTGTTCTCCGTCCTTTGTTCTCCATCTTTTGTTCTCTGTCCCCCCGTTCTCTGTCTTTTGTTCTCTCCTTTATAGAAGAACTGCATACAGGCCGAAGCATGCTGCAAAAAAATGCCAGCTTGCCGAGTTTGAAGTTCCGAGAATTGTTTTACGCATGGCACCAAAACCAGACTTTTACACTAACATGGAAACCTTACAGGATAAGGAAAAAAGTTACACTGGCTACAAAACACATTTGTTGATACAGAGGAAGATTTGGCTTCTCTATTTGTCCTTTTCTGATTTCATTGTTTTTATTTATTATTTATGGTTATTGTGTATTTTTGAGTTTAAATCTAGCTTGCAAATTCTTAATTTGAAATTTTTGAGAAATAAATTAATAGAAAAATTAAAATTAGTGGAATAAAATTAGTGTTTACAGTTTCCCCTCTTTACTTAACTTTTACCAAATGATATGAGTAACACGAGTTTTCATATAATAGTAGTAGAAGATAAGTAAAGACTTAAACTCCAATTTTGTCTAAAACAAAAGTTGCATGTATTAGAGAAAAGATAGTCACGAGATTGTAGCACAAACTAGAGAATATAAGATCTAAAAGCAAATAGTAGACTCATGGTTCCAAACTGTTGAGAGTTAAGAGCACGGGGGCTCGAAACATTAAAAGAGTGAGCGCGGGGGCTCGAGACAATAAAAGACATGAGCTCAGGGGCTCGAAACATTAAAAGAGTGAGCGCGAGGGCTCGAAACATAAAAGAGTGAGCACGGGGGCTCGAAACATTAAAAGAGTGAGCGTGGGGGCTCGAAACATAAAAGAGATGAGCTCGGGGGCTCAAAACATAAAAAGAGTGAGCGCGGGGACTCGAAACATTAAAAGAGTGAGCGTAGGAGCTCGAAACATAAAAGAGTGAGCACGGGGGCTCGAAACATTAAAAGAGTGAGCGTGGGGGCTCGAAACATAAAAGAGATGAGCTCGGGGGCTCAAAACATAAAAGAGTGAGCACGGGGACTCGAAGCATTAAAAGAGTGAGCGCAGGAGCTCGAAACATAAAAGAATGAGCGTGGGGGCTCGAAA